GCCTGTTGGAGGTCCTCTCCATTTCTGATAGCGTTTTCAGTCCTTCTTAGAGTGCTCACTACCCTGCATATAGTACTCACATGTTCTTGTGTGTTGTGCACTGCGGCATAAAAGCCATTAGCACGTTCATTGTGGTTTCCGACAAATGCTAGCCTGATAGTTCCCACATCCCCATAGGCCTGACTCTGGTTCTGATACGGGCTCCGTCTCTTCAGCCTGCATTTTCTGCCTGTTAGCATGCCTTGCAGCTCTGTGTCGAAAAGTGGCTGTGACATGCTGGGTGGGAAGCACTACTGTAAACTGCAGTCAGCCAGGCAGGGCTTTGTCAGGAGGGTGCTGCTGTCAGGGTTATGACAAAGTCTCACAGTGCTTCTCAGAGCGGGGTGTGGTGGCACATGCCTGTAATCCCAGCACTCAGGAGGCTGAGGAAGGAGGATCCTTTCAGTTAGAGAGCAGCCTGAGGTAACAGTGAGCTCAAGGTCGGCCTGACCTGCACAGTGAGACCCTGCTCAGGAGGACAAAAACAAAGCAAAGCAAAAACAAAACAAGTGCTTCTGGGCCTCCCGGCCCCTTGGGGAGGAAGTGCGTGGAACCGGGCACCTGATTTCCTCCAGGGCAGTCAAGCCCTGATAAAAATTTCTCTTGGGCCAGATCTTGTCAAGGACAGCCCAGGATACTTTGAAGTGGCCCCTGAAACCTCCCCGTCAGGAGTCCAGGGAGCCTGACCACTTATGCCCTGGGAACCAGGCTGGGCACTGGGAGGCAAGCCTGCAAGAGCCAGGGTCCCCCTCCTTACTCAGAATGGTGCGTCAGCCTCCCACAGCTTGTCACCTGTGGCTCAGCCTTGCTACCAAGCTCTGGCCCGGGCTCCATCTGGGCCCTCTCTCTGGTGGTGGCGCTCTATGACACTCAACTCTGTTTTGTCAGGGCAGGAGGGTGGTGTACAGTGTCCTCACTGGACAGGCCAAGTCCTGACTCCTTTCTGGACTCTCTTTTGATAAAAATGATGATCACTCTGGTCACATGCGGATGCCATCACAGGGTTGTGGTAGCAAACACGTCTGGTTCACAGATTGTGGAAAATAATTCTGCCCAAAAAGCAGGCCGGTAAACTCTCTTGAATACCAGACTAGAAGAAACACGCAAGGAGGCCCGGGATTAGGCTCAGTGGCACAGTGCCTGCCGGCAAGGACAAGGTACATGAGTTCAATTCCGGGTACAAAAACAAAGAAGTAAAGAACATATGACGAAATAGCATGAGGAGAGGGTAGGCACGAAGACTGGTGTCTCCAGAGCGAAAGCCTGGGAGCCGGGGACGCGGCAGCACCCCTCCGACGGTCTTGGGCAGTGGAGTCCTGCAGCAGTGTCGCTGAGGCCGCGCCAGCACACCCCCCCGCCAGGGTGCGGAAGCACCGGGACGGACTTGGGGCGGGCCTCGCGGCGTAGCCCGGGCTGGCCTCCGTACCGCAGCGCTCCTGCCCCAGCTCCCGCGTGCCAGCTTGCCGGGCAGCGGCATCAGCTCAGCGAGCCTCCCTGCCGCTCCCCGCCCGTTGTGCTTGGCAGCACCCGGGACCTGGGGCCAAGCCCTCGCTGCCCACGGGCTCCACGCCTGGGTAGCTCTTGTTCAGCCCGGGTGCAGAGCCTCTCCCCAGACGGGAGGGCATGCAGGTACCCCACTGTAATGCAGCGAGGGGACGCTCCCTCCGAGCCACGAGACCTATCCCTGGCCGGAGGCTGGCCCTGGAACCTGCAGGAGTCCTTTCCACCCGCGCTGCACCTCTGAGACCCCCTTGAAGGGCGGCACAAACCTGCTCCTCACAGGCTGCCTCCGGGACTCATCTGACTGGGCTCCCAAAAGGCCCTCAAGCCTGGAGTCCGGGGATCCAAACAGCCACAGCCAGGGGCCTGCAGCAGCGCCGGAGGGCAGTGGCCCACAGCCCACCCTTGTGAGGAGCCCTGGGTTCCGCCCTGCTCTCAGGGCCCCGCCCCTGCTCTCAGGGCCCCGCCCCTGCTCTCAAGG